TCGAAATAAAGATCACTTATATTAGGATTCCTTATATGAGAATATTGATAGAATGAACTATCCTAATTTTTTTTTCTAGAAGTATATATATTGACGGGACCTCCTATTATGTGAATAGATCTAGAGATCTATTCTCTTATATTCTAATAATTATACTATTGTTGTTTTCTACAAATCAGACAAAGGTATTTGATCATGCCATCATGTACGTAAGTTTAATCTATGATCAATGATATTTAATTTTAATATTAATATTATGTTATTTTACATGATAATATTTTTACATTTACAATTAATATTAGAATGATATTTTTAAATCAAAATAACTTATATCATAAAAATATTAGATATTTTTTTTATATGAGATATGTTTACATTATCACGCGTTATATATGATCACAACTATAAAATTTTGATTGAATACTAGATATATTAATATTCATTATAATTTTAGAAACTCAAATCATTTATATTGTATTATTTTTTATTATAGTGGTACTGTAATTTCTTTTTAATGTTTCTGGTCAAGCAAATTTGAATGATCAAAATCAATTCCGACTAAATCTTGCCCCAAATCTGATTTTGAGATGACTTTAATTTTGACCTCGATCAAATTTATAGTTTGACCCAAATTACATTCTTGAGCACTAATTTTAATCAAACCTTGATTTTGACTTCAGTCAATCATAATTTTGATCACATCCTACTATGGTTTAGACTAAACTTTGACCTCAATCAACTCTCATTCTAATTTCAATTTTTATTGTTTCATCAATTGTACAGCCATGAAGTCCTGCTAATCTAAGAAGAAACTCTTTCCAAAGCAAGCACAATGGCAGGATTTCATAGCTGAATTTGATATGGTAATAAAATACAAGTTTGGAAAGGCAAATGTCATGGCCGATGCATTGAGTCAGAAAATAGAGCGTGTGAATGACGTACAATTGGAGGGCAGAGGCCAAGTAAGTCAGTTGCACTCCAACTTTTTTTCAGGATCAGGGATAGACTGTATAGTGATCCCCAAGTAATTATCCTGATGCAGCTCATCAAAGAAGAGAAGACACGACGATTTTGGGTCCAGGAGGGACTCGTTTACACAAAAGGGAATAGTGTTTATGTCCCTCGAGTGGACAATTTAAGACGTGAGCTCTTAAGAGAGTGTCACAATTCCCTTTGGGCTGGACATTCGGGCATTCACAGAACCTTGACTCTCGTGAAGAGGACTTTCTACTGGCCGAAGATAGGGACTGATGTAGAGGAATATGTTCCAACGTGCCTCACTTACCAACAAGACAAGGTGGAGTAGTGGAAGCCGGTGGGACTTTTGGAGTTGTTGCCCGTACTAGAAAGGCCGTAGGAGAGCATTTCCTTTGATTTCATATCAAGCTTATCGACGGTAGGGGGACTCAGATCGATACTCGTGGTGGTCGATCGATTTTCAAAGTATACAACTTTTATTACTGTACCCCTACACTATTCAGCAGAGGCGGCGGACAAGCTGATGATGAAGAATGTGATAAAATATTGGGGAGTACGTACAATATCATTAGTGATCGAGATGCTTAGTTCTTGGGATGATTCTGGGTTAAGCTATTCAAATTGCTGGGGTCTAAGTTATACTTCTCTACAAGCCTCCACCCCTAAACGATGGCCAAATCGAAAGGATAAACTCGCTCCTGGAATAATATCTTTGACACTACGTGAGTGCCAATCAACGAGATTAGGTAAAGATGTTGGACACATCCCAATTCGTCTGCAACTTGTAGAGCGGAGCTCTGCATCCAACAAGAGCCCCTTCGACATCATTACATGACAACAACCGTCAACTTCTCACACCATGACAATCGGGTATACTAGGAGTAGCCTGTCAGCCTACCACTTCGCAAAGGGGTAGCACCGAAATGCAGATATTTTGTGGGCTTACTTGGAGAAGGCGACCAAAAGGATGAAGAAGTGGGCAAACTTGGGAAGGCAACGGCAAGAGTTCAAGGTCGGCGATTTGGTGTTAGTAAAACTCTAACCAACATCACTCAAATTCTTTAGGAATAAAGTGCACAAAAGATTGGTACGTAAGTATGAAGAACCCTTCCCAATTGTCAGCAAGGTAGGCAACGTCTCTTACAAGTTGTAGCTGTCGGCATGGCTCAAAATTTATAATATTTTTCATGCCAGCAATTTGAAAGCCTACCACTTGGATCCGCAAGATGCTTCTCGAAGTGTTCCGACTCAGCTAAACCCCACCAGAGCCTCCTATGAGAAGCAAGTTGAAACCATTTTAGCGGATCCCAAGGTAAAGTTATCTATTGGAGCTGAGTAGATTAAGTAGTTGGTGAAGTGGCGAAAGCTTCCCGTAACTGAAGCCAGTTAGGAGTCCGAAGATGCCCTACGACATGAAGAGACAATCATCAACAACTACTAACAAGCGTCGATGAGGGCATCGAGAGTTTAAGTGGGGGAGAATGTCATGAACGGTCGTCGCGCACCCGTAATAACTTCATTCAATGAAGTGTTCGTCACTTATGTTTTCATGTACAACTGCTTGGCAGCATATTTTGGCTTGGTTTTATGTTCTTTTGCTTGTAAAAATGTAAGTTCGAACAAGTTACAGCGCTATAGTGTGACCATTCATTGAATCGAGCAAAACAGCCCAAAACGGCTCCGTTTTTGTATGCCACGGGCTGTTTTCTGTAGCCCGCTACTACATGTGAAACATCAGCCATCTCAAGACCCTGGAACCACCTGGGTGGCACCATGGGGGATGGGGCTTCGGTATAGTGTCGGGCATTGAACAATCATTCGCAAGTTCGCATGTTACCTTGACGAGAACTTGTTGTCACGCTCGACACCCAATGAGTAGTTATTTGTGGACTTGTAGCTGTTCGTTCAACCTTCTAAAGTCTTTGTTTTTCTCCTCTCCCTCTTTTCTCTTATACACGTAAGGTACTCGTTGAATTGCTTGTAAAGCTTCCTCTTTTCATGAGACATCGGGACTTGTCCATCGCTCATTCTTTAAACTAATCAACTTTCTCTTTTATAGGTCCTTTGGGACCTCCGAGAGGTTGCAAGTGGGCTGATCTTTGCGGACGCATATCGCAAGGGCGAGGCGCGACTTAGGCAACACAAGCTAAGTTCATGTCTTTGTCGCAAGGGTACCTCACGACTTAGGCAATTCTAGCTAAGTCCGTAACAAATCGGTCCACGTTTTCAAATCCACATATTATCAGTTTAAAAAAATAAATAAATTACATATGTCATTATATTAATGATTTATTGTGAGTCAATATACCAGGTAAATAAACTCTAACGTTTGTTAACTTGGACTTGATGAAAATAGCTTATATGCTATGTTTTTTAAAATACATGGATTATTTTAGATACGAGTAAATTATAAAGACATAAGAGGTCTATCGACAAAATCATAGCGACTAAAATGGACTTTAATCCTTTATAAAAATATACTTAGAACCTATCTTAAAATTATATAAAAATAAAAAATACTATCATTGATTTTACACTGAAATTTTAGTGGTAATGTGCAAGTTGGTGGAAGATTGATCCTATCAAACTCAAAAATAAATTAAAATATTCTCCTTTATAGAATATATCCAACAATACTAAAATTTCATAATTAATTATCCTATAATCGTCTAAAAATAGAAAAAAAAAGACCTACCTTCATTTGATGTTGCATTAGTGTATAAGTAGAGTTGTGAAAGTTTGAGATGGTTTAGTGGAAAAGAACTTTGTTACACTCAAAGATGAACAAAAATACACTAATTTATAAAAATCTATCTAAAAACTACCACAACTCCTCATTTACTTAACCTGAAATTATCTAAAAAAAAAAAAAAATACTATCACTGATGTTATAATTCTTGATTTTAGTCCATTTTGAGCTTTCATGGTAATCAGCTAGACTCATCTATTAGGGTTCGTACATGATTTCGTTTAGGGTGTACCCACTTGTAACACCTGTTGTACTGGATTGGCGCTACCTAGGCACTAGTCTATCTCCGCTAATGGTTGCTACTGTTAGTTTGGCCAGCCTTACTAATCAGTAATAGATCACCATGATTGAAGCCTCCATTTCATATTAAGTTCATATATTGTTTTAGTCTGACTATTAAATGAAGTATCACTTGAGCAACCGAAGAAAGGTAACGCCACTAGTGTCCCCTCATGGGACATTGATAATCTAACATGTCTTGGGAGCTGCGAAAAACATCACTCCTGTTTTGAATATGAAGCGTAAAATGTGTTAAAAGTTTCTAAAATCTTCTCTACTCCTTTGATCTTTTTCATTTATCAGGAGAAGCTGAAACTATCCTTATTAGATCAAGAGCGACTGCTGACGTCCTCAAGATATTGTCACATGCTATTGAAGAAATGAAAATGCTTAATATGTTCCCTCTCCTATTTATACAGATTAGGAGAAAGGATTTGAAGAAGTGAAGAAGCTTTATTGAAGAAATGAAAATGCTTAATATGTTCCCTCTCCTATTTATATAGATTAGGAGAAAGGATTTTTCTCAACAAATTAGAGAGATTTCCTCATATAGTTGGGAAAATCTTATCTTCTATCACTTCCTACTTCCTTCACAAAAGCGTAAAGCATCACTCGCATCGTGACGAGAACATCATTTAGAAGAGAGATATGTATGTTGCATCAGTTTTTCGCTTAACATCTTGAGAATGGATACATGTCTGAGTTTTAGAAGTTTGTTCCTTCGTTTTTCTTCTGGCAGCAAGTCTCAGAATTTCTGACCAATATATTAAAGCATTTGGTTGCATAGAAAAGGAAGTAAGAAATCATCGTGTAATTGTTAAATAGTCTCATATGTGCAAGATCTTTTTTTCTTATATTTATATTTATTTTTCTCCTCTCTTTGTTCAGGGAACTAACTACACTCCTACTTCCTAGCGCTGTTGGAAACCCTTCTATCATAACTCAGGCTCTAGCAATATACAAAGAGCTTAGTGTAGACAATACAAGTGCTCCTTTAGCGGAGAACCCCCATCTAGAAACCTCAGAAGAGAGCAACAGCAATGGTGATTCTAGAATCGATGCCGTAGGAACTTCTTCAGATATGGCATCTGTTTCTGATCCAAGTGAAAGAATATTCTCTCTCCAAAGTCCACCAAAGGGATTGAGCTAGTCTTTGCTTTGCTTCACAAGTTGTCAAAGGGAATTATTTTTGCAAGCTAGGCATGGAACTGTCATTCTGTTCATTCTTGAGAAAATTGTGAAGAAAATTTGACATTTTGAAGTGTTTTGTAGATGAAAGGGTCAAGACATTGAAATGATCTGGTCTACTCAATTGACACTCTCAGTTGAATCATCTCATCGTGTTACACAAATCCACAAACGAAAAGGGAAAGGAACAAAAAATAATGTCATTGGATCTTTTTATTATCTTGTCATGTACTCGTGCTGTATCCTTTCATGATTCGTTTTTGGGAAGCTTAAACATTACTTGAAAACGTTTGAGCCATTTTAGGTGCTTGTTATCCATAGTTATATCAGGATTGAGTATGACAGTCCATCACGGATGATTAGTATGCATACGTAACACCTTCGTTAACAGATCATTCGTCGTTTGTTTTTATTCGTATAGGTCTATGTTTTTACTTGAAATCCATAAGAAAAATAATTTACGAAGCTACATAATAATCGATCATCATCTATGCACAACATTCTTAAAATTCTTCCGTGGCACAAATAAGACTTTGGGGTAATTATGAGCATTTGTGAGATGTTGGGATTTATTCTTTATTTATTTTTATGAATTAATTGACTTTCTCTTTTATAAATTATTTTTTTTATATTAATTAACTTTCTCTTTTATAGATCATTCGTTTGCACATAAAGTTCATTTTGCAAGATGTTAGGATTTATTTTTTCATTCGTTTTTATATACTAATTCTTGAAGACCTATATGAGGTTGAAGACCTAAACAGTGTAAAAGAGTGTCGTATGACTTAATAATTTTAACTAAATTGGTGACATAATCAAAAAAATAAATAATGGATTCAATTCAATGCACTTATTGGATAAAAGAATATTATTTTTTTCTTTTCTTCTTCGAAATATAGTGCTCTAATGGGAAAATAAATAAAAAAATATTAAAAGTTATGTCAAAATTTATGAGGTTAAGTATGTTATTTATAAAAAAACCTTGAAAGGATTAATATATTAAGAAGAAACTCTATTAATTATTTATTTATCCCAACAAACAAACAAACGCAGAAACCAACCAAAGTTCAAATGACAAAAGGAACTCCCAAACCAAAGGAGACGACATCAGCGACCGGAGGTTTCAGCCTCATTTCTTGACGACTC